CTTTACAGAACTGTTTCAGTTCAGCAATATTCTTGGGATGTCTGGTGTGAATCGCTTTCTTGAGGTCATGCCACAGCATCTCAATCGGGTTGAGGTCAGGACTCTGACTGGGCCACTTCAGAAGGCGTATTTTCTTCTGTTTAAGCCATTCTGTTGTTGATTTACTTCTATGCTTTGGGTCATTGTCCTGTTGCAACACCCATCTTCTGTTGAGCTTCAGCTGGTAGACAGGTGGCCTTAAGTTCTCCTGCAAAATGTCTTGATAAACTTGGGAATTCATTTTTCCTTCGATGATAGCAATCCGTCCAGGCCCTGACGCAGCAAAGCAGCCCCAAACCATGATGCCCCCACCACCATACTTCACAGTTGGGATGAGGTTTTGATGTTGGTGTGCTGTGCCTTTTTTTCGCCACATAGTGTTGTGTGTTTCTTCCAAACAACTCAACTTTGGTTTTATCTGTCCACAGAATATTTTGCCAGTACTGCTGTGGAACATCCAGGTGCTCTTGTGCAAACTGTAAACGTGCAACAATGTTTTGTTTGGACAGCAGTGACTTCCTCTGTGGTATCCTCCCATGAAATCCATTCTTGTTTTGTGTTTTACGTATTGTAGATTCGCTAACAGGGATGTTAGCATTTGCCAGTGACTTTTGTAAGTCTTTAGCTGACACTCTAGGATTCTTCTTCACCTCATTGAGCAGTCTGCGCTGTGCTCTTGCAGTCATCTTTACAGGACAGCCACTCCTAGGGAGAGTAGCAGCAGTGCTGAACTTTCTCCATTTATAGACAATTTGTCTTAAAATGAACTGATGAACAGCAAGGCTTTTGGAGATACTTTTATAACCCTTTCCAGCTTTATGCAAGTCAACAATTCTTAATCGTAGGTCTTCTGAGAGCTCTTTTGTGCGAGGCATCATTCACATCAGCCAATGCTTCTTGTGAAAAGCAAACCCAGAACTGGTGTGTGTTTTTTATAGGGCAGGGCAGCTGTAACCAACACCTCCAATCTCATCTCATTGATTGGACTCCAGTTGGCTGACATCTCACTCCAATTAGCTCTTGGAGATGTCATTAGTCTAGGGGTTCACATACTTTTTCCACCCGCACTGTGAATTTTTACATGGTGTGTTCAATAAAAACATGGCAACATTTCATTCTTTGTGTGTTATTAGTTTAAGCAGACTGTGATTGTTTATTGTTGTGACTTAGATGATGATCAGATCACATTTTATGACCAATTTGTGCAGAAATCCATATCATTCCAAAGGGTTCACATACTTTTTCTTGCAACTGTAGATACCCCAATTAAAACATGCATGCATTTTGTTCATTAGGAGTATACCTAAAACATCTTGCAAAAGCTATAGATCTCTTGTCTGCAGCATTTGCAACCCCCCACCCCCCACCCTCCCTTCTAACCTCACCCAGATTTTCTGTGGTTGTCCAATCACAGACTTCCCAATGCAGATCATTGAGAATTCTTTGCAACGCAGATGCTCTGGGCAATTGCTGCCTCTTGAGTTTCGCTACACTGAGCTGAACAACCAGGAAGTAACAGGATTGACAGCCAAGGGGTGTAACAAGTTAAATGTATAAATGTGTAAATTTTTATTGAAATCTGCACTTTTTGTAACCCCTTAGTGACCAATGATGTACCATGTATGTCCGCCAAAAAGCGGTCGGTAGTGACTGCGGACGTACCTGGTACATCATTTAGTAGATCGGGACTTACCTGATCGCTGGCGATCACAATCCTGGGGACTCCCTGAGAGTTCAGGCAGACCCCCTCTGCCCGATCCGGCCCTCCGGTACCATGTGATTGCGGGGTCCTCGCAATCACATGGCCGGAGTTTTTCAAGTTAAATAAAAGTTTGAAAAAGTAAATAAAAGTACTTTAATTAATATATATGATCTAAGTACGTTTATTTATATATATATATATATATATATATATATACATACATAAATCATTATTAAAAGTGTATTTCAATATTAATCTATATAATTGTGTGTATATATATATATATTTATATATATATATATATATATATTAATATTAAAATACACTCAGAATAACGTTCATTTATATATATATATATATATATATATATATATATATATATATATATATATATATATATATATATATATATATATATGTATATGTATGTATATATATATAATAAATACGTTGAAAAAAATGGGGGGGGAATTAAATTAAAAAAAAAAGTGGTTTAAATTTGTTCTAACTGTATTATGATATTAATATACATATATATTTAAATCAAAATACATTTAGGATGACATTATAAATACATATATCCCTTTAATGACCATGGACGTAATAGGTACTTCCGACAAAAAACGGTCGTTAAGGACCGTGGACATATGTAGTACGTCCGCGGCAAATAGGAGCCCTGGACTTACCTGGACCGGCGATCCGCAGCGATCACGGTTGGGGGGGGGAATGCCAGAGACCCAGCAGTACCCCTGCAGCAGCTCCAGCCACCCCACGCCCTCCAGGTCCATGTGATCACCACGATCACATCGCGGCAATAGGAGTCTATGGAGCATTATATATGTACAATATATTATAAAATGCTTTAATTATAATATATTATACATATATAAGAAATAAAAGTGTGTGTTGTCTACTTTTACAAATGATATGCCATGATGGGGTTAATTTTCATTCCTGGGCTATTATATGGTCAACATAGGCAACACAGGCCCTGCAAACCAATCTGGCAAATTTCAATCGGCAAACATAGAACATGGCCCCTGTAAGTTAGGAGAAACCCATAAAACCTGTACATTGGAGGCACTGTTGTACTCAGGAGATGTTGCTAAACACATATTGGGGTGTTCTTTGTCAGTAACATATAACGGGAACTGAGAATCCATGCCTAAATTATAAAGTGAGAGAAAAAATAACACAAAAATGATTAGCCAAAAGTTTGACAAAGACTGGTGGTAGAATTAGTGCACGGAAAGTGTGGAAATACCACCATTTGAAATATCCCAGGGTGTCTACTTTTCAAAAATATATGGTTTGATGGATGTAAATTACATTGGCCGGCTTCAGAAATGTCCCAAATAGGACATGGGTTCATGATGACCCGCTGTGAAACTTTGAAGTTGGAAAACTGGAATGCGCATCCTCCAAATAAGGTCTTTTAGCCCCCAGAGAACCTGTCACACCTATACATGGGTGGTATCACTCAGGAGATGTTGCTGAACACATATTGGGGTGTTCCTTGGCAGTAACCCTTAAAATTCTCAATACATGTATTCTTAAATTGCTATGTGTGTCAAAAAATCACCAATTATTTTTAGTTTTTAAATTTGGCATAGATTGGTGGTAAAATGGTTGCATGACAAGAGTATGAAAAGAGTCAAAATACCCCAAGCTTAATACCTTAGGTTGTCGTCTTTTAAAAAATATATACAAGTGAAGGGTTATTCAGTGATTCCTGACAGATATCAGTGATACAATTTAACTTGAGTCAATTTAAAAAAAAAAAAAACTGGTTTGGAAATAGCAAAGTGCTACTTGTACTTATTGCCCTATAACTTGCAAGAAAAAGCTAAGAATGTTAACATTGGGTATTTCGAAACTCAGGACAAAATTTAGAAACTATTTAGCATGGGTGGTTTTTGGCAGTTGTAGATGCGTAACATATTTTGAGGGTCAAAGTTTTTTCATTTTTTATAAATTTTTTATCAAATTGTATAACTTTTTTATAGTAAATTATATGATATGATGAAAATAATGGTATCTTTAGAACGACCATTTAATGGCGAGAAACATGGTATGTAATATTTGTGGGTATAGTAAATGAGTAAGAGGAAAATTAAAGCTAAACACAAACACTGCAGAAATATAAAAACAGCACGGGTCCTTAACGGTAAGAAAATTGAAAAACAGTCTGGTCACTAAGGGGTTAAAAATTAAAATGGGGGTCAAAAAGAGCTAAAGTGCTTTAGTTGCATGGAGTGTTCCTTTAGGTAAGTTACAGGCAGAAATGTCAAAAAACTAAGAAAACTTTTATCTTTGTATATCCTGGAATAATTCATTTACACAAACTGCACTAAACAGCTAGAGATAAGTAAAAAACATAATACTATTGTGTTACCTTTTGGCTCACTATCAACAAGACTACAAAGTAACTATTTATTTCAAATGGGATGAAAAATTTTGTAATACTATTATATGCTTCTTTAGGTCAGGAAATTGCAACTCTTGTAGCAATCTGCAGAGGTCTCACTCATTGAGTAATCGGACATTGGTACACTGCCAGCTCTGTGCTAGTTGCACAAGTATTGGAATATAATTATGGGTGATCGGGTTGAATGGGATACAGTGAGTGGAAAATAGGTGGATGGGAATAAGCCTTGCCATTTTATGGAATATAACTATAACTGCTAACTTTTGCTATGGCTTGTGGCTACTAAAAAAGAAAGGATATACTCCATATTGAAATACCCTGGGATGTCTATATTTTAAGCGGTATGCCATGATGGGGGTAATTCTCATTCCTCGGCTCCCATATGGTCTCAAAGGCAACATATTCAATCTGTGAAATTTCAATGTGGAAAAACTGGGGATAGCCATATGAGCCCTATAAGAACCTGGCCTGAAACGTTCCAAAACACCATAAAACCTGTACATGTGGGGTACCGTTGTACTGAAGAGAAATTGCTGAACACAAATATGTGTATTTAATTGCAGTAAAAACTAACCGTGTTATGACATTAACAATTAAAATATCATGCAGAACTAAGAAAAGACATTTCTTAATTTGTTCACACTTTTTTGTTTTTATTCCTATAAAGTTGTGTTTCATATATAGATATTTGATGTGAAATGAAAACCCTGTTTCTCCTGAACAAAATGATATATAATAAGTGAGGGTGCACTTAATATGAAAGAGATGAATTATGGATGAACAGACATATAGCACAAATTCTACAGTTTGTTTAGATTTTTTTTTATTTTTATCTGAACGTGCACAATTGTCTCTGTCCTTAATGGTTAACATAAGTTTAGGTGAAATTCAATGTTTACTAAATAGTGTATTTTCCAGTTGAGTAAAAGTTCCCCGTTATGTAAACATGTCAAGCACCATAACCAATACAGCTTACAGGTCTAAAATTTCTCTTTTGAGATTCTGAACTTTTTTAAATATAGGCACCATATCTCCTTTTCTCCAGTCCTCTGACATGATCCCCAAAAGAAAATAATCTTGAAAGATTAAAAACAGAGGTTTAAGTATTTCTACACTAAGCCCCCGAAGTACTCCTGGGTGAATACCATCTGGTCTATGTACTTTGTTTACATACTACTGAGAACATCCTGACACTGTCTCTCTGCTGAGAGAATCCTGACACTGTCTCTCTGCTGAGAGAATCCTGACAGCGTATCTCTGCTGAGAGAATCCTGACAGCGTATCTCTGCTGAGAGAATCCTGACACTGTCTCTCTGCTGAGAGAATCCTGACTGTATCTCTGCTGAGGGAATCCAGTGCTCAGTCTGTGTTCGGTGAATGTTCCCTGTATTTTCAGACGATGCTTTGTTACTCTGTACCTACTTTCTCCCTATAATCTTCACTCACCGAGTGCCCCCTGTCTGGCTTCCCACACTCAGCTCATACTCAGAGAGTGTACACGCCCTGTGTTTCCAGACGATGCTCTCCCTACATATTGATTTCCATGAGACACACAGTCTACTCAGTGAGTGTCCTCAAAGTCTCAGGCTGCACTCCCTGGCTGTATTATGTTTGTTCAAACTGTATTTCCTCAGTTCCGAGTTTATTTCTTCCCTCCCTACAGGCTGTCCCCCTCCCTTCACACTCTGCCTCCTCCTTCCCTCTACATTTACACCCTGTCACTCACACTCTGCCTCCACCCTCACTTACTCCCAGTTCCTCCCTCTCTATTTGCCCTGACAGTCCCCCCCCCTCAATCCCTCATCCCCCCCTATTTCATCCCCCCTACCTATCACTCCAACCCCGAGGTTTCACCCCGGCAGCCCGCTTCCCACCCACCGTCAGCTTTCCCTCCATCGTTTCCCTTCCCAGCCTCCCACCCACGGGTAACTCCCCCTCACCGCCCTCTGTCAGCTCCCTTTCTTTGCCCCCCTTACTCACACTCTGTCACTCAGTCCCCCTCCCTCCCCTCTTACCCACACCCTGCCACTCACTTCTTCCTCCACCCTCACTCACTCCCTTTCCCTCCCACTTTCTGTCCTCCCTGTCAGCTCCCCCCTCCCACTCATACTCCTGGCCCGGAAGAAAACCCAACCCTGCAGGAAGTATAGGGGTCTCCTCCTCCCCCAGCTGTCTGTACCCCCCTTCATCTGAGGTTTACCTCCCCCCGGCCGGCCGCTGACAGGGGGTGACCCCCCCAGAAGACAGGAGGTGGGAGTGTGAGAGACAAGAGGAGGGGAGCCAGGAGTGACAGTAAATACAGACAGACACTGAATGTCAGTACAGACAGACAGACTGACACACAGACTGAATGTCAGGACAGACAGACAGACTGACACACAGACTGAATGTCAGGACAGACAGACAGACTGACACACAGACTGAATGTCAGGACAGACAGACAGAATGAATGTCAGTAAATACAGACAGACTGACAGACACTGCAGGTTAGTAAATACAGACAGACAGACTGACACTGAATGTCAGTACAGACAGACACTGAATGTCAGTACAGACAGACAGACACACAGACTGAATGTCAGTAAATACAGACAGACAGACACTGAATGTCAGTACAGACAGACACTGAATGTCAGTACAGACAGACAGACTGAATGTCAGTAAATACAGACAGACTGACAGTCCGTAAATACAGACAGACTGACACTGAATGTCAGTACAGACAGACAGACTGACACACAGACTAAATGTCAGTACAGACAGACTGAATGTCAGTACAGACAGACAGACTGAATGTCAGTACAGACAGACAGACTGAATGTCAGTAAATACAGACAGACTGACAGTCCGTAAATACAGACAGACTGACAGACACTGCAGGTTAGTAAATACAGACAGACTGACACTGAATGTCAGTACAGACAGACAGACTGAATGTCAGGAAATACAGACACACTGACAGACACTGCAGGTTAGTAAATACAGACAGACTGACACTGAATGTTAGTAAATACAGACAGACTGACAGACACTGCATATCAGTAAAAACAGACAGACACTAAATGCCAGTAAATATAGACACTGACAGACACTAAATGTTAGTAAATACAGACAGATATACAGACACTGAATGTTAGTAAATACAGACAGACTGATACTGAATGTAAATAAATACAAACAGACTGACAGACACTGCATATAAGTAAAAACAGACAGACACTAAATGCCAGTAAATATAGACAGACTGACAGACACTGAATGTTAGTAAATACAGACAGATATACAGACACTGAATGTTAGTAAACACAGACAGGTATACATACACTGAATGTTAGTAAATACAGACAGATTGACAGTGCATGTTAGTAAATAATGATAGACAGACTCTGCAAGTCAGTGAATGCAGACATACTAATGCAACATGTCTGTAAATACGGACAGACAGACTGACCCAGCATGACACTGCATGTCTGTAAATTCTGACTGACGCAGCATGTCTGTAACTACCAACTGACACTTCTTTTTAGTAAATAAATACAGACAGACTTGCATGTCAGTAAATACCAACTAACTGACCCCGCATGTCCCTAAATAAAGACAGACAGACCTGCATGTCCCTAAATAAAGACAGACTGATCCTGCATGTCAATAAACAGAAACAGACTGATCCTGCATGTCAGGAAATAAAGACAGACAGACTGATTCTGCGTGTCCGTGAAGATACAGACCTGCATGTCTGATATAGACATACTGGTCTGTCTGTCTTCACTGAAATACTGACAATACGTGTCAGTGATTACAGACAGACTGACAATGCGTGTCAAGTGAATACAGAGAGACTGACAATGCGTGTCAGTGAATGCAGACAGACTGACCATGCGTGTCAGTGAATGCAGACAGACTGACCATGCATGTCAGTGAATGCAGACAGACTGACCATGCGTGTCAGTGAATGCAGACAGACTGACAATGCGTATCAGTGAATGCAGACAGACTGACAATGCGTGTCAGTAAATACAGACTGACTGACAATGCGTGTCAGTTAATACAGACAGACTGACAATGTGTATCAGTGAATGCAGACAGATGTGTACAACCTGACAAGAACAAACAGATGTGTGCATATATAGTGATAAACTGACTAGTAATCAGAGACGTATGGCTGCAGTTAATCAGTTAACAGTTAAGAAAAAGACAGCTAGGCACACATATTACATACATGCAACTACGCAAACTGTATATTATCAGAACATTATGTTTATATATCTAGTTAGTGAATACACAGAAAGGAGAAAAAACATACAGGGTTATTAACTAAAGTTTGCATTGTTGAGAATAAAAAGTGAATATGCAGTTTAGTCGTATGTAAACATAGATAATCTGGTGATTAATTTATTTTTTTCCTCCTAAAATGTTACATTTATTTGCATAATGTTTATCCACCAGACCTCAAATTGTAGCAATTAAAAATCAGAGTGACAAAACCGTGGCTGCAGTAGCTAACCCCTGACTATTATGGAGTTAGATCATTTTTACAGATCACACATTTTTGCCTACATTTTGCCATTCAGATATAATTTTGTTACAATTCGGAGTTTACTAAATAAACAATTCACATTTTAATGAATTGCTCTGTTGAGGTCTTTTCACTACGCATCAGTTGGCTTGGGTTTGCCCAGATTTTGGCTGTTTTAACTGAATGTTGCTATTTGAAATCCATTCAGCTAATTATTAACTATATTTTCAGTTTTTTAGCTATATTCGTACTTGTATCTGGTTAGCATTGGGTAAGCTGTAAAACACAGTCAGATCATAACCTGCATAAGATTGATCATTTGGCTATTCACAAACAAGGAATTGCAAATAAATTCATTTTATTAATTTAATCCAGTTCTTCTAACAGGGCTATTGCACCTGTAACCCTAATTTAACAAATGTTAGTGCTTAGTGAAAACTCCATTAGATGGTGTTCAGAGACAAGCAGATTGTACACACACAGACAGAGTAGACAGACAAAATACAAGTACACACAGGCAAGCAGGTCAATGGAATAGACAATCTATGTTTACATGTGTGTTTTACATGCAGTGTTCTTAGTATGGTGTGTTTTATTTTATGGTTGACATATCCAAAATGCAAAATATTGAATAACAAGAACGTCACTATATCGGAGGTCACAGAGAAAGCGTACTCTTAGTTCACGGGATTCTCCTTGTAATGTCATTCATTGTAACAGAATAAGAGGTTACTTCCACATTGCTTCCTAGATATCAAATATAAAATAGAGCATTGACCTTTAATCTTTTGCTCTGTACATTGCTGGATGTTATCACACCATTAATTCTATACTTTTCTGTTTGTAACCACTTGGCATTCACTGTATGTGGCTGGATGCAGCCTTTTGCCTTTCTGGATTCACCACTTAGCTATTGCTGCATAAATTGCTAGATGTAGCGACTTAGCTTTCTGTACATTGTTAGATGTAACGTTATGTCTTTCACTCTGTATTTTGCTGGACTGTACTTACCTTTCATTCTGTGCATTGCTGAATTTAACCATTACCTTTCGCACTGTGCATTGTTGTAGCCTCTTGCATTTGCTTCTGTAGTAATCAATTGCATACAAGGCCAATTTAATTAGCTTTGCATGCTTATTAACAGAATTTACAAACAAAAAGTGCATTAAGAGGAATATGTGAAATTTTGTGCTTGAGTATCTTGTTTCCAAGTTACAAATTGCCATACATAAACTGTGATTCAATTTCCCACACAGCTACCTTCCACTCAAACATCTCTTGCGCTGTTTTTCAGTTTCAAGATGGCGTCCGACCTGGGCAGCAGCTTGACCTCCATAGACTGGCTTCCTGCGCTCACTATCCAAGCCACCATGAAAGGGGGACAACCTGGTGTGGGACGTAAAGGCCCTGGGTCCCCAAGTGATTCCAGTGCAATGCTAACAAAGGAGGAGGCAGCAGCCCATCGAGACGGAAAACCGCCTTACAGTTACGCCAACCTCATCCAGTATGCCATTAATTCAGCGCCCTCCAAACGCATGACTCTCAGCGAAATCTATCGCTGGATATGTGATAACTTCCCATATTACCGCAATGCTGGTGTGGGCTGGAAGGTGAGAAAATGCACAAGAGCTCCTGTAAGGAATACAAATTACTGACAGGGTACATGGAGGTACAGGCATCATTGGCAAGGAATGGCAGGATTTGTGGCACTAGAAGGGGAATGGCATGGTAGATAGTTTGAAACTATAACTGGAAGGAGGATGGTATGAGAGATAGTGGTGCAGCTATCACTGGAAATAGGATGGCATAAGGGATGATTGTGGAGCTATCACTAGAATGAGAGATGACATTGGAGATTATTGTAAAGACATCACTAGAGGGGGATGACATAGCAGATAACAGTATATCTATCTATCTATAAAAGGGGGTGGCAAGCCAGATAATGGTGCAGCTTTCACTGGAACAGTGTAATATGATGGTCAGTAAATGTGACTTCTTCTATGAGATATCAGAGATGGAAGACATCAGTACTTGTTGATGTCAGTGGTGAAGACCACAAGCTACTGTGGACAATTATGTTGATAAGGTTAAGTAGGCATTTGGTAGACCACAAAATAATGTTTAATAGTAGCGAGTATAATATTCCTTTATGTTCATTGTACACTAGGAAAGTGTTTATGTTTTTCAGAATTCCATCCGTCACAATCTATCATTAAACAAATGTTTTCGAAAGGTTCCTCGGCCAAGAGATGACCCTGGGAAGGTAAGAGATTTGGTAGCGTTATGTGTTTAATGTGGGGAGTTGAAGAGTTAAAGAAATATTTACATAATGGAAAATAAGAAATGAACCTAAGGGATGGGGGGTTTAAAGGTCCAAGGGGAATTAGATCAAGATTAAGAAGAATTGCTCAAGTAGAGGCGGGTGAGAGAACCCAATTGAGCAGTTCAGATCTAAATATGGTGGTAAAGCTTACAGTAAAATATTTAACAGGGAGTTAATTAGTAATAAAAGAGAAACATGGTGGTTTTACTATTGAGTATCTTTATTTAAGGGATCCTATTGGATGATTGACAGCTGTCCAAAAGAAGATGTGAGCCTACCCAGAAGGAAAAGACCACACCCTGATGATGAGGTAAATAAGCATGCCTTCCTACAGATCACACCCATGAATATCATACCTTCCAACTCTCCCAGGTCCAGTGGGACCATTTTGAATTCGGGGGCCTGTCCAACTGTCCTGGGTTTGTTGCTTGGTGTCCTGCCATGTTGGACACCAAAGAATGTTCCTCAGATGGGTGCATCATGTGCCTCACTTTTATTGCGACAAGTGTGCTGAGCTCATGTCAGAGACCTTCAGAAGTGTCCTGTGCATGTGCAATCTAGAGTGTGGCTAGCCAGAATGACAGACAGTAAGCCTAGTGTGCATATACTCTTTACCATTTGCTTTTATTTATCATTATCACTTCACCTTTGCTGCAGAACTCAATATCTAGGCGCTGCCATTTTTGATCCTCTGTCCAGAGAACTCTTGGAGTCCTTCTTTGCTGAATATAATCAATTGGGCATAGCCCCCCTGGCTAACATACATTGTTTCTTACAGCTTTCCCAGGATTCCATCGAGCAAGATGTCAATAAAAGTCCTTTAAGTTCCACCAGCGATGTGTCTCTACCCCCTGAAGGAGCTCATGGACAGCACATGGAAAATAACTCTCCTCTCCCCAGCTACAGCCAGGTGAGTTAGTGTGTTTGTGGGGAGTGCCGCTTTCCAAACATAAACTGTGGGGATCGAATAACCAATAAAGTAAGGGTGAACTGGGCTTCTCCATGAACATTCTTCTATGCAACGATCACCAGTCAGTTGCTGCCACTGTGCTTCCAATGACATTTATTCAGTAATTTTAAAGGAACACGTGAAGGTTAAAAATAAATATATTTATATTTACCTCCATTATGTTCTTTTTGTTTAGATTCAGGGCCTACCTTTAAACTAACCTGGAATCAAGCACAGGCACAGTCAGATGCTTCTCATAGAGATTTTTAAAGGTTTTCAATGAGGAATTGCCTTTGGGGCGTGTTTATGGCCAAATGTAAACATTGGTATTTCTCGAATACAGTAACTTTTTACATTTCCAGACTGCAGTGACAAGGTCTATGCACCAAAACCACTCCATTAAGATGAAATGGTTTTGGTGTTTAGAGTGTCTCTTTAAAAAGCCATTATTCCTTGGTCCTTTTAAAAGAATTTCCAGTGCTATGATTTTGCCTTCCTGCTCCTTGTTGCCCAACCAATGAAAAATCTTTGAATGTTTTGTTTGCCCATTCCATGTGAGCAGCAGTTGTGTGAGGGACCTCTAAGTGGAGCTCATTATTTATCCTTTTTATTTTACTATTTGCGATTCTACCTTTTTCTGTCTGTAATGGAAATGATCATTAACCTGTCTTCTTTTCTCGTTCTTGCAGGCCACTCCTACTCACATGCAGCCAGAGTCCAGAGCTGCTCCATACAACAACAACGACTGCTACAAATTCTCATTATCCGAGATCAATGGTCCTGATCTCAGCGCTTCCTTCCGGAGCCTTTACTACTCACTGCTGGGTAAACAGGGTGAGAGAGGGGTAATGGGGCATCATTACTCACTGCTGGTTAAACAGGGTGAGAATGAAGCTAATGGCCCATTTCTATGCAGTGGAGGGGGAGGAAATGGGGGAAAAGTGGCTAAACTGCTGGCTATACATGCGAGAGAGGAGCAATGGGCTATTACTACCCACTAATGGGTCAATATGTCACTACTGAATTTTGGTCTACTTATGGGAGTAGCCTATCTTGTTTTTTCTAACAAGCTTTATCAGAAACGTAATTATTGTTGATTCCACCAATCAAAAATGATCATTTGGACACGTGGGAAATTGTTCTTGGGTTTTTTTTGTATAACATTTGTATAGTAGCAAAACATTGAACTATCCTGGGTTAGTGTAATGGGCAAATGGAGCTTGGGCAATATAGGGGTACATTTGGCTCTAATGTCTGCACTCTTTTTTCCATCAGGGCAATCTCCAGCCCCTCCAGACGTCCAATCATCTAGCTGCTGTATGTACCAGCAGAATTCGGGGGCATCCTCTTCAATGCACCCGCACAGTGTCCCTAACATCAACAACCCCCCACCTCCACACCACCAAACCCAGCACCATCAGCCCTCCTATCTTCCCCCACAGCAAATGCCCCGTCCAGCGGTACCTGGGATGTCTCTAGGTGAGCATATTGCAGTTTGCTTGATTAATGCAATCATGTTTATACAGACCATGCATTGTAAAACTCATATTTGCTTCCTTTCCAGGGCTGCCCAGCGACTGGTGCTCAAATATTGACTCCTTAAAAGAAAGCTTCAAGATAGTCAGTAGCCTGGATTGGTCCAGTGTTGATTTATCCCAGTTCTCAGGTGAGTAATGGAAATAGATAGACAGACAGCAGGCGCTGAGCTTGTTAGTGTTGCATGAGACTTCCCCCACTTTCGCTCTTGAGCACAGTTCAGATTTGTGACCAAGAGAAAGTCATTAGGTGACACTCCAGACCCCTAAAGCACTTTGTGTGTGAAGAGTGTCTGCTCTTACCAAATATTGAGCTTATAAGACTATACAACGTTTCAGTTGGAAAACACCTAAAATATGTATTGTTACTGATGTTGGTTAATGTAAAAGTTGTAAAAACTGAAAATGGGGCAAACAAAATGTCAATATATGTCTCTTAAAGTTTCTTTATATGTACCTGTATACAAATAAAGGGGGGAGGGGGGAGAAATTGTCACTTTTATAAATTAACCTTATTACATGCCCACCCTGGTTTTCAGACAACCAGTCCTGTTACTTCCTGGTTTGGTTAGCTCAGTGGAACTAAACTCAAGAGGCAGCAATTGCCCAGAGCACCAACCTTGCAAAAACTTCTAATTGAGCTGCATTGGGAAGTCTGTTATTGGACAGTCACAGACATTCTGGGCTGCAGAGGAAGGGGAGGGCTTGCAAAGGTTGCAGACAAGAGATCTGCAGCTTTTGCAAGCGGCTTCTAGATATACCCAGAATGCAAAATACATAATTAAAGGGACACTATAGGCACCCAGACAACTCAGGCCCAATGCGGGAGCGGTGCTCGCCGTGCATGTGCTTTAGGTTCCCTATAATTGCTGATAAGTGTCAAATGGGTTTTTCAACCCTTTCCAACACCGGGGCTATAGTGTTCCTTTAGATATATGCATGTTTTCCTAGGGTGTATATTTACTAAACACTGTTTGAGAAAAAAAAAAATACCAGGCATTGTGAAGATTACTAACAATCTGTATTAAAATGTTGCAATAATTGTGAAATTTGAGAGAAAAATTGAGACTGGAAAGAGATGTGAGCAAGATGGAGAAAATAAGGCAAGAAATTGAGGACAGAGTATAAAAAATAATGTTGGCCCAATGTCAGTAAGATGGAAGGGAAATGCTGAGAGAATGAACGCAGGGTGAAATAAATTAGGGGAGACAATAGTAATGGAGGATAAAATGGCAGTAAAAGTAGGAGAGAGGTGGGAGAAAATGAAATAGAATGGAGAGATTTTGCAGAGAATTAGAGGAGAGAAAGAAACAAAATAGAAGAAATGTAGAGAAGAGAAAGGGGAACAAATTAGGGAAATAGTAAAGATGTTTATTATTGGAGAATAGAGGAAGGAACTGAATGGAGGAAATGGACATTGAGTGGAAAAGAAGAAAAATAGAAAAAAGTATGAGAAATAAAGATGGTGGTGAGAATGGGAGTTGGGGTGAAGTAGGGACACATAGAAGATATGATGTGGGGGACAGAATGGATGGAAGTAGGGTTCACAGAGAAAATTAGCAAATAAAATCGTTGTAGTTTAAAGGAATAGTGTGTGTGAAAGGTACACGTATTAAGGACAGTAGACGTGGGTAGATTTTACTGCACAGCTTTGCCCTCTGTTCACAGACCTCATGGAAAGCCTACGACAAGCAGAGCTGAAGAACTGGAGTCTAGATCAGCATCATATCGCCAGCCTGTGTGACTCCCTAAGCAATTTACTCAATCAGACTGGCCTTCTGCCTCCCACACATGGCCAATCCAGCCCATGCCAAGCACCCTGTCTACCCCCCACAACCAGCAGCTCCTGTGCAGTCCGGGGAGGAAAGCCTGGGCACACTATGACAGGTGAGAAAGGGAGATAAGTGTAGGAATAAGGTAATGCTGAGTAAAATAGAAAAAGTCAAGATATTTGGGCACTTTAAATTTGGCAGAAATAAAAATACATAAGATGTAAAAGAGAGAGGGGAAAAAATAAAGGGACAGAAAATGGGTAAGAATGAGGAATGTGAGAATCCAAACAAGGTAATGTTGCAGTAAGCTACAGATATTATGTTACGTGCTAATTTCTTAATATTCTTTTCCCTTCCAGCAGTAAACTCCTATGGGCAGAACCAGCACCCCCCTGCATCTTGTGGTCACAATTTCATTGCACCTCCTGGGTACCCCATACAAACCCAGGCACCCCCTACATACAGCCAGCAAGGTCAGTAAGCACTGAAGTCACAGGTTACAGCAGATTTTGAATAGTGAAGATAATCACTGTCTGTGTTGTTACTTGATTACTTTTCATATAGCTGCCCACCATAGAATTGAAAGCATTGCTGCCATTTAGAATCACACAGGGTTATTCACAAAGTGTGAATTCAAAGTGGATTTCGCATTTAAGGTTAAAAATAACCAAACTGTAAAAACTCTCTAAGTTAACTATTTTTTCAATTTGTCCACTCTGTCCTTAAATGTAAAATTAACATTGAATTCTCACTTTATTAAATAACCCTGACTTGATTGCCTTGGTGTTGGTACTTAGCGATGCACGTTACAGCTCACTGAAGAATTTAAAATCTCATTTAATTACCAGTCACGCTCCCTCCTGATTTCTAAAGGCAGGTTAGAAAAATTACTGCTCCAGCAAATCTTAGACATCTGCTCACTTTTCCATTTTAAAGACTCATCACCCTTCATCTTTCAGTGAGCTTGTCAATCCTTGTATGGCAGGCAGTAATGTATTTAAAAATGTCTTTAGATAGCAATATTTGTTTAAAAGTGCTGCAGGTAGTTTCTGGAGTGGATGCCATGTCAAGGCTAGTTAGTGGCTAATTGAAAAGCACCGCGACTAACGAATGATGGGAATGTTAATTCTAAGGACTTGATAATCCAGTATTGTTTCCCTATAGGACGCCACCCGCAGCGTGGGCTGTACCCACCTCCCCGTCCCACACTCCGTTACCCGCACAGCAGTGATGACATCCAAGATGACTTTGATTGGGACTCCATTGCCTAGAGACTCTGCACACCCGGTCCCCATGGGACAGAACACAAACAGAAGCTGGTTAAACACACGTGTGTGTATATATACCTATATAGAGTTGTATATCTTCGCCCGACAATCAGGGACAAAAGGGATCCCACTCTCCAGACTGAAAAAGAACACAAAAAATGCCCCCTTTCATACTTCAGTGCCCTCCTGATGCTGTGACTTACAGGGAGCCTAGGCAACGCTTGGAACTTCAGTGACTTTTTTTCTTCAGTTGCCCCATGATGGGGCACAACTCCCAGTGCCAAGGAATCTGGAGGTGCCAGTACAGCACAGAGGTACCTGCTCAGATGATTTATTTATGTAGCACTTACATATGCCACAGTTCAGTAAAAAGTGTTAAGAAGGCCCAGTCTCCAGGAATTTTACAAGTTTGGCAACAGACTCATTGTGTCTATGTTGGATTTGTGACATCTGTGTACCGTTGCTTATGAAGAACTTGATTCACACTTCATCCCCTACTCCCACATTTAATGCATGTAAGTGGAGAAGAAGGAAGCCCTTAGATCTGAGCGTCATCTTTCCTTCTCTGCTGAGGAATATGTGACATCACAAGGCCTGTATGTAAGGCTCTCCCTGCTTGAGCAAGTGTTCTAACTAAAGTTAACAGTAAAACCGGTCTGATCTGCCTAACAAAGATTATCGAAAAAGGATAATTTCTCCTAGCTTCTGAGGACTAGTGTGGGGAACGTCTACACCTTATTATCTAGGACATACTGATCCAAATGTCTTTGCTGTTTCAGTAACTAGCTGGGAAAGTTTCATGTCTTTAGGATTCAACTATATCTGAAACTATTTCCCAAGAATTTCCTCCTCCTGGACGTTACATCCCTGTAGTGATACGACACAGAAAAAATAGCTTCACAATGCCAGTCAGACTTCCAGGTACATGATTACAGAGGTCTAGTTAGGGATGAGGTTTGTACATGGTGGTTCAAAATCACTCAAATAACTGTAAGATGCTTAATCTATCAAACAGATTCTACAGAAGTGACAGTTGTTTGATCATTTACCCCAGTAAACGCTTCTGCAGCATTTACTGGGTGAATAATGCAATGGAGGAAAGAAAAAAAAAAAGTTTCTATATGGCGGCTACTTCGCTGCCCCACGCTGCCTCACGCTGCCTCAGGCATGCTTGGACATCTAATGGAGAGATGTAACACACATGCATATGTACTTGGCATATTCTCCAGCAGTGCCTAATGAACACATATGTTGTGTCCACAGTACTGCAACAGTTAACTAATTTACATGTTTTCCAGGTAAACCTTAACAAAACAAAATATTTTTTTTTAAATTGCTACAGTTGAGGAAGTAAGTTTGTGTCGTCATAATTTCAAGCTTTTCATATATTTTTATTTTTAATAAAACAGTACATGTATTGCATCCTTTGTGTTATTTTATAACTAAATTCTTTTCAGTGTATCTCATGGCTTACCCTTACACTATGGGGATGGCCTTTTTTAAATCCTCTTTTAACCAAAACCATGTTGGTAATCAAGAGCTAACGTGCATTTCCAAATTCTAACATTATATGCAAATTCTGGGAAACTCAAATGTACTCTGAGCATTAAGGAAAGTTTATATATACACACGAACACAAAAAAAGTGTTTGTTTTTTTAAGCATCTTACAAGTATTAACGTGGTTTCTGAATTTAGATTACCCTGCCTGATGTCACTCTGTGTCTTACCAAGGGAGTTTACACATGCCAATTTGTGTTCTAGTGTTTAGTAGGGTACAGTGACCTTGGGATAATGTGTTACAAAGTGAAAGGCGTGAAACCTGTTGAGCTTGTAAATCTTCTGCCAGTGTGTGATAAACCCCCCCCTAACTACCATAAAGCGAGTGGAAGCACCTTAATAAAAGCAGAGCATGTGCACTTAAAGGAACTTAGAGTCCTAGCACTTTTCAAGTTTAGATTAATTTTGTGCCAGGGTATGCTTTTGACAGACCTGCTGCTCCCATGAAACCTGGACAGATCCTTGCTGGGGTTTGGGAAATGCAACTGGGTAACAGCTGGAAGAACAGATTTTTAATACCAGGGTGTCATTAAAGGTGGAATAGAAGCTAATTCCTTAGAGCCCCCTGTGGTGAGCAAGATAACTGCACCCTAGCCATTACTTTGGGCATATTTACCATCACTCAGAACCTCGAGGGAGCAGATTTTATCTTTAATTAGACATAATTAGGCAAGTTAATTGCTGCAAGCGGTGGTGAGTTTAATCCTCTTAGCAGTGTACATTTGCCCTATGCTGGAGCTTTGGTCACCTATGTTAAGAGGCAAACGGGAAAAAATTATAAAATCACTTTCAGATGTTTACATGTAACAAATCTCCACACTTTTTTGGGTATTGCTCCTTTGTTTTCGTCCCAATCTTTCCTCTTTCAGACTAGCAGTGGCTGAAGTGCAGGATGTACAGAGCACAATATGAATAAACATGGCTGCCCTTTCAGTGTCTTCTTCTGTGTCAGGGCAAGTGTATATAAAGCATGTCTATACACTGTGTGGATGGGGAACAGAGCAGGCATTCTGTTTTCAATATGTTTTGGCTTGTTCTGTGTGTCGAGGTATATTGTGTTTGTTTACACAGTGTATATGTGTAAGGGTTTAATATGAGTGCTTGTACTGTGTGTGTGTGGGGTGAGGATGAGTATCTGTACTGCATATGGGTAGGTACTCTATTTTATGGCCATGCAAGTATGGGGATTGAGTGCCTCTAACCTCTTATTGAGGTGGGGATACAACAGACATAATGAGTGGAAAAATGCATTATAGTAGTAAAAATACTTTATATATGTACAATGCAACATATATGAGCAATAATTGACTGTTACATAGTACCTCTTTGGTGTTACATACATAATAATGCATATAAAAATAGTAAATATTTAAAACTGAGGTAAGACATGGTACATGTGGCTTACATGTACTTAGAGCCATGTAACATGCACTCAGAGCAGTCACACAACACTAGGTACATATAACATAACACTGGGAACATACACATACACACACACACACACAAAGCTGTCTCACACCATTGGGTACATGTAACACACCGCAGAGCAGTCGCTCTGTGCACGAGTAACAGACAGACAAATCACAAAACACAAACGCAAATAACACACACAAAGCAGTCACACTGCATTGGTAACGTAGCACACATAGAGCAGTCACACTGCACTGTGAACAAGTAACATGTGAACCAGTCACAATGGGTAAATATATACCCTATTATCAGTCATAGTGAAACTAGGCATGTATAGTACATGCATACCAGTCACACCATACGACACAGCCTAGTTATATGAAGCTGGGTACATTCATCTTACACAAAGTTGCACAGTTCTGGTTATGTTTAACATACATGGATCACATGACAATGAAAATAATAATTTACATAAAATGTGTAAATGTAACATGTGCAGCAGTCCTATTTTACTGGGACCATGTAACAGATGCTGAGCAGTTAACTCTCTAACTACAGCATATATGTTCCACATAAATAGGGCACCAGTTCATGAATTGAAATAGTTAGACGGTACGGATAAACCCTGATTATTGTGGCTCAGTAACCGGAGTGCAATGAAGCCAAGGTGTGACTTTGCCATAGTGCAAATAGTGTGGTCCCATGGTTAGGAGTAAGTCTATCGGACCACATACAAGGCTCTACCTTCTACCAAATCAGGAAATGCCAAGGCTGTGGTTCAGAGTTTCATTAAGTCTAGCAGTTTCTGTCTCTAGGACCTGAGGACGGGGGTCTGAGGTTACAGCTGCAAGGGAGCGGTTTAGATTCTGTCGTAAGACAAGGATGTCATCGGTGGTGCGAGAACAACGCTGTATATACTTGGATCGATGATCTCGTTCAGCATGAAGCTGTGACTGTAAGCGGGACACCTGGAAAGACAAAGACATAAATAAACATGCATATGTATGTGGGCAACCTTCTAGAACATTTCATCTTCTCCCTCTATTTAAAACTCCCCACACCCTGCCGCGCAAACAAAAAATCCCAAAAATGTTAAGTGTACGTTTTGCACTTCTATGGCTAAGATGTGATTGCAGTAGATCAGACACTTTATGGTTTACGCAAGTGGTAATACATAGCTTTCTCTGGTCTTTTCACATAGCTCCTTTCTGTCCTCACCAGCAATTTAAAGACTCCCTCTTTCCTCCCTTCCATTCTCTAGCAGCACAACTTTACCTGTCTTTGCAAGTCTGCTAAATTCTGCCGCAGCACAACGGAGTCTTCAGTGTCCTGGAGGAGACAGATGAGTAAGATTGAATTAATGCAGTAGATTTAACAAAGGGATCTTTTCACTAAATGCCAAATGTTCAACAGCTAATTCAGCCCCTTTTATTTGATATCTGATAGAATTCCTCTGAGATTTGATTTATCAACCAAACAGACTGGAGACAAATAGGTCCCTTCTATTTAAACGAAGCTCATTTTTAAAAAAACACTATAGCGTTACTGTACTGTATTCCTAACGCTATAATGTCTCCCTGTGTTGAAATAATTAAAAACCCGTCTCCTACTCCAGCAGTTAGTCATGCAGATGGAGGATCTTATGCGCACACACACACACATTACAACTTCCCCATAGGAAACATTGAATTAATGCTTTCCTATGGGGATTTTGAAGATGCTAGGCATTCTCTGGCAAAGCATGAGGACATCCATCATATCAGAAAGTGAAACTCCAGTGAAAATGCAGGTAGCGCTTCAAGTGGCTGTCTCGTAGGCAACCAATAGAGGCTGTCTTAGGGGACAGGGACACTGCACCAAGACCACTTCAATGAGATGAAGTGGTCTGTGTGCCTATAGTGCCTCTTGAAAGCAGTAAGACTCATTTTAGCTGTAGCTACAATACTAACGAATAACCCAATGACAGACAAATATATCTGTTATAAGAGAAAAAAAATTGGTTATCGTTATGGGATTAAGGGATTTCTGGAGTAGTATTAGGGTCCCTTAGAGTTATAGGTATAGTTCTCCCGCTCTGTATCAGCTATCCTGCTGATCAGTTACTTTTTGGATGTTTGGGAATAGCTAAACTAGCAATACAGCTTAAAATGTTGGTTGCTTTAAAAATAAAGATCAACTGCTAAATGCAGAATGGCTACCAAGAAGCCAGATGTGTTTTTGCTGATTGCTCCAATTTCTTGGAATTGCCAGGTGTCAAATGCTGCCCAGTCTAAAAAGTCATTACACAAAGAGGCAAATCCTGGGACTTTGTAGCAAGTAACAATTTCTATTAACTTTTTTTTTCTTCAGGTTTTGAATACATTATCTATGTAATAGAAATGAAAGCACCGAGTGTCCCTTTAATGATCTCAAAAGAGCTGTACATATGCCACCATTATTGATCTAATTAACCCTCCATGTTCCAGTAACCTCCTATGTTCATGTTCCATTTTATAATGAACAGCATCTTCTACAAATTGGTTGAGTCTGTCTCCTAGTTTATCACCTGCCCTGTAAGACCTTTATGTTCTAAAGATCACCTGTGTTTATATCACCCATACACAGGGAACAGGTTTTAGGCAAAATCTATATCTTTGTCAAAGAGTTTTAAGAACATTGTTTTCTATATATTTACTGTACATAGTCACTTGGCAGATTTTATTTCCTCTACTGGGTTGAAACTCACCTCCTGTGTTTGGAATCCACTAGAATTCTGGGATGATATTCTGGTTCCCTTACGCAACTCCCTGCGGAGGTTTCTCCTTTCATTCTCTACCTGGGGAATAATTAAGATTCAGTAAGTAGAACTGATTTGAAACCTTGTTTCTGGCTATTTGAAATAACAACAGACTCTTACCTTCTGCAAAGTCTGACTCAGCTGCAGGTTTCGATTCTCCATAGCAACCTTCTCATTTTCAAGCCTTGCAACAGCCCCATGGAGGGCTTCAAGTCGTCCCTGCAAACTGATCCCATCCTGGGCAGGTGCAGAGGTAAAGTCCTGAGAATAAGAAATAATTATTCAGATTTTTCTTTAACACCATCCTACTTCAATATATATATTATTGTCCACTCAGGGACCACATTAGGTAAGGTACTAATTGGTCTACACGTGACATCAGTACCAGGTTATTACTAGGGATATTCTGCTTTGAATGCAATCCTAATACTAGTTGATTATCAATTAGGGGATCAGCGAGTGTGAACCCATTATTATGGTATTGTCCAATCAGGACCTCCACTCAGTGTGTGACCTTACAACTGTTTGATGCTTCATGCCTTACCATCCCAAATTTTGATATATCTTTACCCATCTTTTCTACCCCCTACGCGTAGGAACTCTTCCTGACAGCAACCCAAATAAAAAAGGGAACCTATCATGACAGATACAGGTATGCAGTTTTCTAACCATCTGGTTTCACTCATGTTACACAATTAAGTGTTTATGTCCTTAATACTATTAAAAGCTAATATTTAATTTTATTTCCATCACTCCTGCCTCCTACTTTGAGCATCAATCATGTTTTCAGTGGTGGTACACTTGCTCCTTCATACCCCTGTTTGGGAAGCACAAGATAGTTTCCCTTAACATGTTAAAAATTCCTAACACTTTATGTTGGCTTTGTGGTATGTAAATATAATTTATCTGTTTTTTCTCTCTCTCTCTCTCCCTCTCTCTCCATTCTCAGATTACCTGTCCAAAGCGGCTGCAATACATCATTCTGGTTCTTTCTGTGCTGCTCTCACAAAGAGCCTGCCCCTTCTACCCCTTGCAGGCATTTCTTCCCCTAAGCCTGAATTCAAGCAGGTGGCATGTTCAGAAAAGGGTTTACCTGGTAACAGGTATAGAGAGCACAGCATTCTTATCTCTGTGCCAATTGGCACAGATTGAACTGACAGAAGTGGGTAAAGGGCTGTTTTTTAACCTTTGATTTTAAATAAATCTAGGCATTTGCTAGGAATTCTGCTAGCACAATGTTATGATACAATTTGATTCTCTATCATGTAAGATTAAGTTGTATTTGTCGTGACAGGTACCCTTTAAGAGGAAGATTTTTCAACCTTTTCTATGAATGCAAATCAATATACCAGGTATCGTCACCTTTGAAGATCTCTCTGCTTCTAGTTCTCTGGCTCTCTCCTTCCAGGCAATCTGCTCAGCCTCTGTGTGCCTCAGTGTAGTTTCCATCCTTTTGAGTTTAGCCATTAATAATTCCTCCCTTTGCTCAGCCTCACGTTTCTCTTGATGCAGACTGTCCACCTCCTGACGCATTTCTTCAAGTGCAGCCTCCCTTTTTTCATCCTCCAGTCTCTCAAGATGCAGAACCTTCCCCTCCCAATGTGTCTCCTTCATTGATATCTCACTCTCCTCTTTGACATATCCATTTTTACTCTTATGGAAACTTGGCTTTTCATCCTTGTTTTTCAAGTCTGTGAACCCGAATTCAGCATCTGACAATCCTGCTTCTTCCTTTTGTAATGTGCCCTGTCTAAGGTATGAAATCTTAGCTTTCAGAGCGTTAATCTCTGATCTTGACTCCCCTGCTACTGTTCCTGTCTCTGTTAAGGCCTGGGATAATTCCTGTCTAAGAGATGTGTTCTCCTTCTCACTCAACTTTATCATTCTTTCTTTCGCAACTAAGCTTTCTTCAAGGTTTTGTATCTTGTGTCTTAAAGCGTTTATCTCCATCCGCACTTGCTCCACTGAG